AAAAAAAAAAAAAAAAAAAAGAGTGGCACATAAGAACAAACCCCACTTTGACTTTTGACTTTTTTCTCCAACCCCTGACCCTTAGCAGACTGACACTATTAAACTCACCTGAGCCCTCCAGAGCTCATCCCGTTCCTGGGCCACTCGCCAGTGGGTGTCGCCCATCATGGCAATGAACAGGTTGAGCATTAGCAGTGTGGCAATGATGGCAAAGGCAGCGTAGGTGATGCTGTACATGAAGGGCAGATCCACACTGTAGTTGGCTGGGCCATCGATGATGGTGAGGAACAGCTCAAAGGTGCTGAACAGCGACGTAGGGTAGTCAGAGAACTCCCCCAGACTGGATGGGTCTTCTGTCTGGAAGATGATAAAGAATGCTGCTCCGCCCAGGAAAGGGGCATGGAGACATGGAGATGAGGAAATGGAAATATCACCTTAAGCATGAGCCTGGTTAGTATGCACTCTACCTGGTCTGCATCCTCTCCCTGTCTCTCTCTCACTGTCTCTGTCTCTGTCTCTCTCTCTCTCTCTTTCTCTCTCTCTCTCTCTCCCCACACTTACATAAATGTTTACACAATTTACACATTCACAAATGGAGTTACTTGCAGAACCAAAATTAAGATGTCTTATGACTAATTTGACTATGATGGGTAATGATAATATTCAGTCATTTATGAAAAATGATATGTGCACATGTATATGCATAATAAATCACTTAATAGATTCTCACATTTTTGGAAATCAAATTTTTGAAAGATAAGTTATTAAAAGTATGCAGGGAACATCCAAAACTTTTAAAGAACAGAGCACATGTAAAAGGTAAGAGAACAGCACTTTGTTCAAACCAATGACCTCTAGATAACCAGGCATCACTCTGAGATTTCCAAGGTGAGCCTGGACCACCACCATCCAGGATAGGGTACCATTGCTCACTGTGTAGCCTGCTGCATGGTTGTTGGTCCTTTGGAAACTAAGGACATCACTAGACCCTTTACATGGCTTCTCTCTTCTTCATGGGGAATGAAAATATCAACACAGAGATTCAAAAAGTAGAAATAGGGTCTACTACAAAGAACTACTTCCTTGCTTAAGAAAAATTTAAGGGGAATGGTCAAGAAGTGATCATTTAGGGGATTCCAGGTACAAGACATGTACAGGAAAGCATGCTGTTGCCATTGCTCTATTTTGTAACTTATATGTGCAGAAGCAGTTGGGGCATAGAGGGGAGGAAGGGGCTCAGGGAGTGGAATATTCCAAAAAGACTACCATAGTTTTATCCTGTCATACATTAGATCTTGGTGTAGTTATGCATCTCCTGTTTTATGGGAAACACAATAGGGAATAGGGAAATTTCTGGAGATAGTATAGAGTTCTTGGTAACGAATCATGGTGTTTAGATGTGGAGGGGTCTTCATGCCTAGTGGATGGGCAGCTGCAGACACCAAGGACAGAGCGAGAGTCACTGCCTTCCCCTTCCACCTCTCGGAATTCCTCTACTTATGTACATCCTCTCAACACCCTCTGGTCCTTCCTGCCTGTCCCCAGTTCTGCTGCGTTTTCTCCAGCTCCCTTGTAGTCTACTGTGCCTTCTTTGACAGAGTCCCTAACAGTCCCAGTTGTTTTGGTCTCTTTTTGTCACTCCTTATCTTCTGTTTTTCTAACATGCCCAAACTCTTCGGATTCTTTTTCTATACATCTTTTTTCTAATATTTTCATTTATCTCAACTTTAAATGAACAAATACAGAAAGAAAGCACACTGCATATTATTATTTTCTGTATGCTTCTTCTTCTGAACTGTAAACATAGAGGAGAACTTGAACAATCAAACATTGAATTGTCCTTGTTTGCCCACACAATCCTCCACAACTGGCCAGTGTTTCCTGTTTAACATTTCCCTCTCCCCAAAGGTTTTTCTATATCTCTCCATTGAAGATCTTCAAGGGAGACTGGTCAATGAATATTATTGGCTCAGAACACATAAGGCTACTTTCTAGGCCAATGTGAGTGTTCCTGAGCTCAGGGATAAAGATTATTTTCAAACAGGAAACAAAAAAATTGGAGTGTAGTTGAGAACTGAAAGCAATAGTATAAATAAGCTTTCCTAAGACCTGATCTAATGTCCTGGATGAAGGCATAGTGCTCTTACCTGAGGAAAATCCCAGGATGACCATGCCCATCAGCCAACAGAAACGCATTAGGTCCCCAAAAATCATCTACAGAAAACAGAGAGGAAGAAGGAAGGGATAATTATTTTCTCCACTGTCTGAGCAGCTATTGCTAACAAATCAGGAGGCCCTTGTTATTCTAACAGTTCCATTCTGAGCAGCCACTTTTCTTTGTACTTGTCCCTATCCCTCCATCTGGGAAGGCTCAGGGGCTGATCAGAGGGTGGCTGAGGAAAGCACTGACCTTCTGGATCATGATGGTAAAGGGGCCCAGCATCTGGAGTCCTCGAGCGAAGTACATGACACTGCACCAACCCAGCACCAAGGCCAAGGACAAGGGCACCACCTCCCCATTCACATTGGTGAGCCGCATTGCCATGGTCACAAGCACAAAGGAGGCATAGCTGATGCTGTGGGAAAGCAGGAAGCAAAGTGTGAGAGCCAGGCTAGCAACATCCTAGGTCCTCCATAGCATGGTGTTGACTTGAGTGGTTCTCACACACACTCACTTGGTCTTAACACCTAAAACACACATACAAGCATAGAGACAAGCTCACTGGTGAGGAATCATGGAGTGAAGGTGACCTAAATTCTAAATGCCTGAGATTGAGCTGGAGATTTGAAGGAAGAGAAACTCACATGATGACATGAAATGGGCCCCCAAGGACAGTCTGTCCAAAATAGCGAGATGCACCAACTCTGAAAATGTCTGGGATCTGGGGAGAGTCCATTAAATAAAAAGACAATGTAGACTGCACTTCACTCAGGGTCTTTACATGATGCCCTTCAACTGGAAATCCCTGCCCCTCACCTCTATAAGGAGGATAATCACAGCCCCGATGACAGACACCAACTCCCCTGCCAGCCGGATGTAATCCTCGTAAGTCACATATGCCTCCTATGGAGGAAAATTATGGACAAGAAATCTTTCTTGGATGGATGAAGAATCAAATCCTGTGCTCTAAAGTTGTCAAGGTCTATGCACAATAAAAAGCCCCCTGCCCACCACCATCACCATCATCCACACTGCAGTTGTCATTGTCCTAACTCTGTAAACATGAGTCTATGAGTTCAAGGTTTAATTTAAGGTAGATGTCAATGACTTTCTAGCAATGTCACTTGCTCTCTGTATGCTGTGAGCATTAATTAATAATGTGTGTACTAAGCAGCAGTGAACACATTTCAGAACACCAAGTTAAGAAAGCCAAATGAACAAGAGCCTTTAGTGGCTTGGCATGGTTTCAGTTATGGGGAAAACCCAGCTGTTCCAATCTCACCGAAGCTTGCAATGGGGCAGAATACTCTGCAAACGTATCTCAGAATTCAGGTTCCAGTATGGGCCCAGAACATAACATCCCTAATGTGACCATGAACCCACCACTGAAGGTTTCTGAGCCCAAAATTTCTGATCTGACAAATGGAGATTGTAACACTACTTCCCAAGTTTACTGGGACCAAGCACACTTGGTGATGTATTTGCTTGGACTTTATAACCCATAAAGTAGTTGAATTATTTTAACAGCTTTTTTATCTTGATTAAGTATGTCTGGAAAAGGGATAATTGGCTCAACTAAGAAAAAAAAACTGCAAAGAGTGAGGCCAGGATAGATGGGAAGAACAAAGCGCCCCTAGGGGCCAGTGAAGTAATGGCAAGTGGTAACGTGAATTTCCATTTGACAGAGACCACTGGGGAGTGCAGGTCCACCAGACTCTCCCTCTGCAGCTTCCCAGCACCAGCTGCTCTTTATTTATTCCACAGATCCATTCACACTGAGGCATCCTGTGCACACGTTCACCAGTGACTAACGGAGGCTTCCAGATATGGCAAGCTTTCTCCTCAGCTCTGAGTGCCCTGGGGTAGCTGCCTGCATCCCTGGGCCAGGGGTCCCTCCCTACATCAGGCTGCAGAATGTGGGGTCTCCTGAGAACTCCCTTCCTGCTGTTCTGCCAGACCAGCACAGGGACCATAAAGTAAGGTTTTATCTGGTATTAAAAAAAAAAACTGCTCATCCCAATCAAATTACCATCAGAATACTTTAGCATTCCTAAAATTAAATTGGAACCAGAAAAAAACAAGAATACCATTAACAATTCTGGGCAACAAAGGCGTGGCAGGGGGCATCACAATACCTGGCTTGAAATTATTGTACCACAGAGCTACTGTGGTAAAAACAGCATGGTACTGGCCAAAAACACAAACAAACAACAACAACAACAAAAACAGACTTGAGTATCAATAGGACAGACTAGAAGAGGCAGAAACAACCCCAAACACACTCAACCACCTTATTCCTAAACCAGGCCGCGTAGTGTAGGGTACTGCTGTTCCAAAAGACCAGTGCTTGGATTGTTAGGTATTTATTTTTAGAAAATAAACTGCTCTCTCTGGGAAATAAAATATTGAGAGAGAGAGATTTTCTCTTAGCTTAAAATAGGTACTCTTTGTATAGTTAAGGATATTTTAGTGTTTTAAAAATGGAAGATGCCACTGAATTTCATTGATTGCTCTTTGATTCTCTCCCAGTGATATAATGATTCTACTTTAATAAATCACCCTGACAGTCCTAGAAATAAACCCTAAACCCAAACAAATAATTTTTAAGATTTGCATTTTTAGGGAAAGTACTCAACATTATTCTATTTAAATCAAGAGGCTAATCCATAACTCTCTAGAAGCCCTTAGTTAAAGGTTTGGCAATCATGATAAGGTTATATAGATTCAGGAAAGTAAATTATCAGTGATGCTCTTTCACAAATCCTGTTTTTGTAGTCCTGTAATTCTCAAGTATTTAATTTTCCCTAGATTCATAGACCTAATACCTTCCAGAAAATTCCCTTTTTTATCCATTCCCCCAGCAAACTTCTGGACTCAGTATCATCACAACACCTCTCTATTTTGTGCCTCTCCAGCTGCCTAAGGCCCTCAGGGCAAAAATGCAGCTGAGTTGGCAGTGGAGGAAGTTCTTTAAACCATTAGGACACAAATTCACTAGGTAGCATCCAAACTTGATTAACAAATAGAGATTTTAACAGTGTAGAGGTGAGAGCAGAACTGGAGAGCTAAGGAAGTAAAAGCTAAGCAATGGTCCCCACGGAACAGACATGGGTCGGGAGGAGCTGCATCCAGGATATGCTTGCTCCGCATCACATCTGTCATTTGATTTTTAAATCATGTTCATGTGTCATTTTGATTAGAAATGTTCCTGTGAGATAAGAATAAGAATGTGAAACCCACATTGTCAAATTTCATGCACAAAACTACCACCATTTGGACCTCTGTCTCACATCCTTAAACCTCGTGTGAGTAGTGCTACACTGAGTGACTCTGCACAGTATATGTATACTATACATACATATACTATGACTCTGTAAGGACATATACTGTGTATATGCAGATGTATGTATGCTATACATACATAAGTGACTGCACAGTAGCTTTTTATACATAAAAGCATAACTTTCATGCGAAATGATGACTCATTTTAGAGTTATTAAAATATCTCCAAAACTGGGTAAACTAACTCCACACTTATATAAGTGACCCTCTGAGGTATTTGTGCTGCCTCATATAAATAGAGGGGTTTGTCTTTCCTAATTTCAAGTGTTCTGAAATGTTACTGCCCAGCTTCTCTCAGAACTCCCAGTGATGAACAGCAGGGATCTCCACTGTCAGATTTAGCGTCAGATTTTGTAGAGTCTAAAAGAGCCACAAAGGAACCACTAGAATTCCCAAAAGCCCAGCGCTTCCAGGTTTACTAATGTAACTGGCTATTGAAGTTATTTATTTATCTAAGCAACAGCTCCACAGGTTAACTGAATGACAATTGCATTCATTAAGTCCAGACACTATATTTATGCATTTTTATATTTCTAAGGCCCTTCAGTAATAAAACAGTAGGAAAAAGAGAACTTCCTATTAGTTAATAAATTTGATGCATTGTGAAGCATAATCTTTCAATCATGGTGGTAAGTTTGGAAGCCCCTGATCTAACCCAAATTGACTTACTACTGCATGAAAGGATCACAGATCTTCCCTAAACTTAGGGCCAACCATAGTTATACTGGTTAAATTCATTTGTTCAAAAATACTCATTTTGAGTTTGTTCCATTACATACAGAGGAAGCCTTGCTTCCACTAACAAACAGTAGAGTTTTATGTTACTGCGCACCTCTACTTAGCCATCCTTGTCATCCCAGGTCTGCAGGCCCACAACAGTAAGAGGACATTAGAGATTATTTAATTGATCCTGCTACCAACCCAAGCATCCTTCTACATAGTTTCCAATAGTCAGACAGATGACACGCTATTTCACCCTATTTCAAAGCACTCAAAGCTATTTCAAATCATTCATATTTGCAGTCCTGCAGGGCTGTGTTTCCCTAGCAGACCAGATATGGACCCAGAGATGGACCTAGAGTAGAATTTTTCACCTGTATAATAATAAGGTTTTCTTTGAATGGTCACTATGAAGAGCTAATTTTCTTTGTAAATTACAAGAAATTTCACAAATGCATTCTATAAAAGTTTCTGTGAAAAAATATCATAGCTCCCCGTATAGATGTCCTTCTACTCATTAAGCTCTGTCTCTGGCTCCTTTACTTCTAGCCTCAACCCCAATAACTGGGAGCCTGACACTTCTGGAGCCATGGGAAAAGCATGTGTCTCATCTGCAGGGCCATCACCCCATATAATATTCCCTTCAGGCTTTCCAAGAAGAGTCACCTGTAGCAATTTCTGTTGGAGGACAGTGCTATCTCGAGAGTGTGTGCGGTTCACATTACGTAACTTGAGGGGACGGTAGACACAACACATGGTGAAGCAGATCATGTACAGAATGTACAAGAGTCCCAGAATGCAGAAGTAGGGCTGCCCGTATTTCCTCCACTTCAAGGACACCAGCTCCTTCACTGGGGTCTGTTCTAAAATCTGGCGAGCCTGCCATGCAAAGAGAAAGGATTGGGGTGATCCATGTAGTAAGGAGTTCCAGGTTTCTTGGTGGGTCCCAGAGGGACAGGGCAGGAACCATCACTCTCATCAATTATTCAGTTAGGTATTTATTTGGCGGGTACCCAGGTAATTCATCCTTTATGCTAGTACTACAGATAAACTACTACAGAAGTAAACATAAGACACCATAGTTCTACTGTGTTATTTTTTAAAACTAAATCACTGTGGCTTTAACAATTATGTAGTAACTAGTTCAGTGAAGGGAGAACTGGCAAAGATCATTCCATGAAGAATCAGCAGTTGCCAGGGCAGGAAGGTATGAGAAGCCATTGATCACTTACTCGCAAGTAAAGTGGTGTTGGGAATGTGTGAGAATCTGTTGGGATTTGTGGATGGAAACTGTGATGAGCAGAGTAAATGAGAGCCAAATCACTGTGCTTTAAGGATGTCAAAGCAGGGAGTTTCAATTTTTTTTTTCCTGAATGAAATCTAAAGCAGCCGAGAATCCAAGCAGGAAAGTAATTGAATTTGTTCTAGAAACCCTATTTGACTGAAGAAAAATCATTAGAGCAGGTAGTAGGATGTAGAAATGACTTAGCTCTGATATAAGTAGATAGAATGAAGTTCAGATTAAAAGAAAAAGAATATGGTAGATGGGATGATGCACCCGAAGAATTAAAGATATTTAAAACACTTCTGGTCCATCCAAACCAAGGGGACCTCTCTTCCATTTCGGTGTCTCTGCACATAGCACACACAGACCTATTATCATCCACTTTGTACAGTACTCAAGTCATTGAAGACAGGGACCATAGACTGAGGAAGTTGGCTGGCAGGAAATGTGTTTGTCAATGTGGCAGGCAGTGTGACAGACAGGTGTTCAATATGCTTAAGGAAGGAAAGAAGGAAAGAAGGCAGGGAGGGAGAGAAGGGAGAAAGAAAGGAAGAAAGGAAGGGAGGAGGGGAAAGGTAACAACATCTATTTGGGGAATGACTCATCTCAAGGGATGGAATGAGGAAGGTAACCGGAAGGGACTGAGCTAAGTAGGAGAGTGTGGTCAGGACGGGAATGCAGACTGGGCTTTCACCACAGCTCTCTGAGTCTGGTCCCATCTCCACCTAATGTAAGGCTGGGAAGTATCTAAGGCCGGGGATATCAGCTGGAAACTGGGCTCTGGGCACACACTAAGTTGCTCACCCACCATTCTGTGACTCTCTGACATCCATACCTCCCGCTTCTTCGAGGAAACCACAAGCTCTAGAAAAGACAGCTCCTCTCCCCACGAGTCAATCTCCGTGAGGTCATAGAGAGTAGACGTCAGTGGCCCACATGACCACTGGATGTGCTTCCGCTTCTGCATCAGGTGCTGGAACATCTGAGAAGGCACAGGAGGGAAAGGGGAGAAAGGGAGGTCACTGTTCAGGAAGCTGGTCCAGGAGAATGGCACTGTGGATCAAGCAAGGAGCCTACTCTCTGGGACTAATAGAGAGGGAATTTGGTGATCATCTGCTTACACTGATCTTTTTCTTGCTTTAATTGCCAATCCCATAAAGCTCTGAAGGAACAGGTGAGTGGAGTGGGAGTTTGGGTTCCCATGGCAGATATCTAAGGTAAAATTCTCAGGGTTCCTGAGTAGGGAAAACTGAGGCTGAAGGTTTTAGTGATGAAGTGGGAAATAAGGGGTCCCCTCTCTCATCGGGAGTTTGGAGAGAAAGGTCCTTACGGAGACTTGTCAGGGCTGGGGGAGCCCCTCACCACAGTGTTGCCCTCCACTCCAGCCAGCTTGAAGGGGGTGAGGCCCTGGTGGTTGGGCACGAACTCCAGGCATTGCAGGTGGTCCCCTCTGTCATAGGACAGCAGCAGGTTGTACATCTGGCAGGCGAAGGTTTTGTTGGGCTGCAGGATGAGGATGTGCAGCACCGTGTTTCCTGGGGAGGACAGGCTCTCATGTGGTCACAGGCCTACTGTCCCTGATGGCCCCATTCCCACCTGGGATGGCCTGTTCCCTCCTCCCCACAGCATCCCAGTATCCATCTCCATCCAGTTCCTACCCAGTGAATCCTGAGCCCGGATGTCGGCTCCATGCTCTATGAGCAGCCGCACAATCTCCTCACTGCCCACACAGGCTGCAAAGGACAGAGGGTGCTCTCCTGGGGACACAGGGAGATCAGTGGGAGAAGACAGCATGGTCACGGGATGAGAGGGGCAGTGTCCCCAGGTGACCGCCTGCTCCTCCCACACCCAGGCTGGGGGTTGGGGACCCTTGTTCAGCAGAACCAGAGGAAACGACAGTGCAGAGCTTGGGGGGGTGTGGTCTTTGGCCTTCAATTCTACAAGAAGAGAGCACACCTTAGCCACCCACTATGTCACCCTGTTGTCCCCTTCTTCTTTTTGCCAACCTGGCCCTGGCACTCACCATAGTAGATCAGGTTGTGGGGACTGTGTTCAAAGGCAAGGCCTGTAGCCCTGGCAGACACACTGGCACCATGGGAGAGGAGGGCTCGTACCAGGTTCACGTTCTGGTTCATGACAGCTATGTGCAGGGCAGTCTGACCTGGACAGAGAGAGCTGTCAGCCCCTGGTCTGTCACCTGCCCACTTCTGGAAGGGACATAACAACCCCACACCCTGATCCCCTTGAAGGAGTTCTTTGACAGGTCTTCACACAGAGCCCAGGGTTCTGCAGAGTGATCAGGACTGAGAACCACTGTTCCCTGCCCAGCTCATTGTCCCTACCCCTCCACTAGTGGGTACCAAGGGTTCTTGCTGTCATGAGGACCTAGAGATACATCCTAAGGGACCATGTGAAGGTTGGAAGGAAATACAAATAGCTCAAGGAGATCAGGGATATTTAATGTGCAGACCAGGCTACTGCATTTCTCATAGATATGTAATAAAAGCCCTTTCTCCTGGCTCTCTATCATTTCCCCAGGGCCACCCTTCCCAGACCCAGGTGAAAAAGTGACAGCAGTCCTTCCCATACCCATTGAAAGTCACCCTGCATCAACCTCACCTACATAAGGCTCACACAGAGTGGGCTCCATGACCAGGTCAGGAGCAGCCTCCATCAGCAGCATGGCAGCCTCCAGGTTGTCGTAGAGGGCGGCTATGTGCAGTGCTGTCTCTCCCAGAGCTCCTGAGATGGAGTAGGACAAGGATGCCACGCACTTTCCACAGTCCCTCAGGGAAGGGGTGCCTGGCTCCAGAGATAACTCAAAAGGCCCGTTTCAAAATCCCATGTAGTCCTTAGTCCCATATACATCCTTCTGCCCCACCTGTATCCCAGTACACTCTGATCTCACCTCTTTGTCGAAAGTCACAGCTTTGGCCCAGCAGAAGTCTCTTAAGTGTACACAGGTTATTTTCCTTGGCTCCCTGAAGCAGTGGAGACTCCAATATCCTGGAGGAGAGTTAATAGCAGTCAGGTAGAGACTGTCACATACAGGCCATGAGCAAAGGGGGCCAGAGACATTATCTGACTAAGAGGGTCATAACTTCTACAAAGTGTGCAGAAACAAACAAGCTTTGTCAGTCTTTAGTGTCTAGGCTCCAGGAACTGATGTGAGACTTGGGCATGGACTGGTCTCAGGGATTCCTTGGACTTCCCTGTGATTCCCATCAGGGCCAGCCTGGAGTTAATAGAAGGCTCCTTTCCCAAGAGAGATCCCTGCAAAGAGGTCTTCATCTTGGGTCACTTTATCTGAGCTGAGCATTTCAGGAACCTGAGGAGGGGAGAAGGGGAAAGGAGGGGGCATTGCTTGGCATCCCCAGAGGCCCAGGACTGCAAAACCTGCTCTGTGTATCCAAGGAGAGTTTAAAGATCAGAGTAGTGGAGGCAGCTTGGGCTGAATTTAGGAAACCTGTGGATCTCCCGAGATACACAAGCTCCACGTGCTCTTGGGGCTGTGTAGATACACATGCTTGGTGGGTCTGAACAGTGTGGGGTGGGCTATGGGCCCATGTCTATTTTAGACTTTTCTCTTAGTTGTAGGGCTGTGAATATTTTCCCCCTGGTACTGGGGATCGAACTCAGAACCCAGAGCTTGCCAGGCATGGCGTCACTGAGCTAAATCCCTGGCCCTAAGTATTGTTTATAACTGAGGAGGATCAGCACTAGGCTTCTGAGGATTGAGGTAGTCATCCCACAGGTTCTCTGTAGGTTACTCTTTGCCTCCTCCTCTGCTGAGATCCTAACAGAGTAGGAGATAAAGCTGAAGCCTCTCTTGCTAGACAGACAGTGCTGGTCCCAAAGTAAACACAGGGTTTGGCAAATTGAGGGTCATGGGATATTGCAGAACAGACAGGCAGATGAGTGGTATCCTGATGTCTGGCACCCCTACATTTCTCACTTCCCATGGCCCCCGAAGCCAGTGAGCAGTTTTCTAGTTGAGGAAGCAGGTTTGTGTCCCAGATAATTCCCCCAGGAGAGACCTGCAGGATGAACAATCTTCCCAGCGCTCAGTCCCACTGAATCCTGTGTCCCTGACCAGCCCAGAGCGGCCAGTGCTGAATTCCAGAGTTCACTCCCTGTCCCAAGGATACCAGTCAAAGCCCTTGGACCTCCTATCCATTTATCACACTGACCCTCTGCAGAGGGGACATTCAGAAACCAGCTGTGCCTGAGACCACCCTGGTCCTGTTCTAGTGCAGGGGGTGGGAAGGTCAAAGTCCCATTGCAGGGCCAGGGTGGAGGCTGCTGAGAAAGCAAGGCCCCTGCCAGTAGGAGCGCTCAGTGCAAAGCACAAATGCAGGCCCCCTGCTCCAATCTTTTCAGAATTTCAACTTGAGGGCAGCAGGACATTGAACCTTGCACACAGCACTCTGAAGCACAGGGGCTCAAGTCAGGCTCGGCTTGGCATCCTGTGGAAGGATCTACCCCAGTCGGCTCCAGCAGGAGGCAGGACCCCAATATGCCCACCACAGAGGCTCCCCCTGCCCACAGTGCTCTCCCTGGGTCTGGAACTCAGGGCTGAGCCACAGCAGAACCAACATTGGTTGGAGCATCCAATGAATTAAGGGTCCCAGAAGATTTTTATCCTCAATACCTGACACCAACAATAAGAGAAGGAACTCAGCTACTTGATTGACCAAGGTAGGAGGGTCACAAGTTTAAGCTCACCCAGGGAAACTTGGCAAAAACCCATTTCAAAGTAAAATAAAGGGTTGGCGATGTAGCTCAGTGAAACAGCCCCTGCCGGCATGCATGATGTTCTAGATTCCATTACGAGTATTATAAACAATGAAATTATTTTTAAAAGGAAAGAACAAAACAGGAAAGAAAGAATGAACTAAAAAGCTAAATTCAGGACTCTCCCTTATCAGTCAGGGCACCTTCCTCAGGTGTTCACCTCCAGGTGTTACACAAATTTCTCCTCCCCCTTTCCCAGGCAAATCCATGCTCATGGTAACTCATTACTCTTTCTTCCACTAAGTCTCCTGAAGAAAAGGCCCTTCAAACCCTGGAGTATCTGTTCCCTGCCCCAGCAACCTGCTCTCCGACAACCTGATCTTGCCTGCCCTCCCCATCCTGCACACCTGGCTTCTTTCTTCAGATCCTTATTCTACCTTCTTCCAGGAAGCAGGCAGCTTCCATCCCAGGCTATCATCCTGCTCTGCCTTTTCATAGGCACTCAGGATCTCCGTTTTCCAATGCCCAGATCACTAAGAGGGGCCAGCTGGGGCATTATAGCAAGTGGGCTGGGGAAGAGGAGACTGTCCAGGAGCCCAGCCCTGAGGTCCACGGTACAATCCGCCTGTGGGTCAGAGGATTGGGGACTGGCACCTGGGCCTCAGCAGCCTACCTCTTCTGCTGCAGCATGCAGGCCTCATCCAGCTGCTGGTCCCTGTCTTGCTCTCTGACCAGCCAGGAGCTTAGGAGTTTCTGTAACTGGATCCAAGGTCCTTTAGCCCCCATGTCTCTTGCAGGAACTGGGAGGTGACTGGAAGCTGATCAAAAGCAGGTGGAGGAGGCAGGGTCTGCTGGGTCAGGACCTGGGGTGAGTATATCTCCCCTGTGATGTGTGCACTGTGTGGATTATGCAGTGTGATTGTGCATGTGTTTAGGGACTGGCCACTCAGCAGGGAGAGAGGCACTTTCTCCAGAGGGGGAGGAGCTCTTTAAAGAGCTGAGCCTGAAGGCAGCAGGGCCTCAGGAGCAGGGAGGGGGAGAGGAGGGCCCGGCTGGATCCTGGTATTGGGCTGGGCAGCCTAACATTGATCAGGGAGGGCTGAGTGTGGGCAGAGGAATTTGGAGAGGGAGCAAGGACAGCTGTGGGTCCCTCACACAAGGAGTGCAGCAGGTGGGATGCAGGACAGTAGGAAGATCAGACCTCCAGCTCAGGGACCAGGCCTGTCTGTTAGTATTTTTCTAGAAAAATAGATATAACACAAGATACACCAATATGTATTAATTTACAAGATTGGTTTACAATGGCCACCCAGAGTCGGATGAGGAAGAGTGCAGAGGGTCTGTCTGCACACTGGAGATGGAAGGATTTAGTCTAAAATCTGGAGCTCACTACAGTGTCCCATGTTAGTCCATATCAGGAGGTCAAAGGGTCTGTGATGGGAAGCTGAAGAGTCTACACCAGGAGCCTGAAGGATCCCTGCCAGAAGCTGAAGAGTCTGCGCTGGAAGCCAGGAAATGGCATTCATGGTGAGACGAAGACTGGAGCTCTTCCTAAGGAACAGAAGTTGAGCCATACTTCCTCATTTCCACTTTACACCTTCCAGCTGATGAGCAGCCCTGGGGCTGATCCAAGGGTGTGGAATTGCTGAGCCCATTTAGCTAAGCTTCTCTTAACCAAACTTCTCAAAGTGACACAATCAACCCTCACAAGGCCCATTCTGGTTTAACCCTGTTTCCCCTTACAAAAATCAGGTGAGTGTTCTGAACCTCAGTCTCCCAACCTTTAAAATAGGGGTAACAATTACATTGTTCCATGGAAGTGCATGTAAATTGCCACTTGTTTCAAGAGCTCACTAATTGTAGATTCTCCTGTCATAGATGGGCTCAGAACTTCTCTCAGTGGTTGCTTCTCTGAGCCCCATAGTTTGACCTCAGCCTTGTTGTCACTTCTGTCTGCAACCTTGGCTGACAGGATTCAGTTGGTTTCAGAACTCAACTGAAAGGAAGGTCTCTGGCCCTTCCCTCCCCAGGCCACATTCTGTGAGGACACCTCATCTCCTGCCAGTTTCTGAATCCAGGCTGAGCCCAAGGTTGGGCTCATCCTAGGAGACCCCCAGATGGCCCTGAGTTTCCATGAGGTTGAAGAGTAGGAATTGAGGAGAAGTAAAGGACAAAGAAATCATGGGGCTCTTTCCAGGGATGAGACCACAGAGAAAATGAGTAGATAACAGTGCTGTTATTTTATTGTATGATAACTTACTTTGTCATTCTGATTGTTTTCAAAAAGGCATGTCAATGCTACTGAATTACAGTTATATGATGGATATGTGAGGTTAATGAAAACAGGGCAACCATTCTCTGTCTTCTGAATGAAAGGCCACAGAGAGGGCATGCAAATGAGCAGAACTCCAGGTCTAGAGGCAAGAACGAAACTGGCTTTGAAGTTGAGTTCCCAGCCTCCAGTAAGTCACCCTCCAGAATTTGTTGCTCTTTGGGAAACTTCTGACCATAAGGTTGTGAAAGACTTGGGTAAGGATATTCTTGGCACCCTCCCCTTGGGCAAGAGGTCTTTGGGAACTGGAGTCTGATATCTTCTGTTGTTGTACGAAAGAAAGCTTTGCCCCAGAGATTGAGGAATGGACAAAACAACCTTTAGAAAAGGACAAGAAATAAAAAGGAAAATGAATAAAGAGAGGAAGAGGAGGTGTCTGAGACAGAAAGGACTCCTCACCCAGGCTGTGGGGAGGGGTCACCTTGTGGGAAATTTTTCTTCCTCCCAGGGGGTTGTGGCTGTGTGGGTGGTAATGGTCCCTGAAACCTAGGGACTTCCAGTCTAAGGAGATGTAGAAGCGATAAGGTTGAGATGGGGGTTGTAGATATGCTAAGTGGGGGCAGGCCAGGAAAAGAGCACTGGAGCCATAAAGCTAATCCTCCTCCAGGGTGTGGGGGATGGGGAGGTGGCAGGAGGAGACTGGCCTGGTCACAGCTGCACAGAGCAGGTGTGCAGGGGCTCGCAGTCAAGGGCATGAGTCACAGGTTTGTGTTGCAGGAGTGGGGGACCCATTCTTCTGGCTCTCATCCATGGATCTTCAGTCTCTCCCTTGCCTTCTCCATCTGCAGTGTTCCTCTGCAAGGGAAGAGCACAGGAAAATACCTTGGGTGAAGAGCAGGCTGCCCCTCCTGTCCCAGCTGACAGACCAGAGGTTTGCATGGCCCCACTTCCCTCCTCAGCTTCCCTCTCCTCTGCTCCTTCATCTTGGTGACAGTCTACACTGCCACCCAGCTTTTCTTTTGGACCCTCTCCTATCCAGTGCTCCCTTAGGAAAGCTCATCTACCTATTATACCCCCACCTCCCACCCCCTA